CCTCCTACTCCCCTCCATCAACATTTAAATTCCCTCAGCCCAGCTGTTCACAGCTAGGTTGGAAAGGAAGAGAAGAAATTATTTATCTGATTGGAGGAATTGTAGGCACTGGACCAAGTGAGTTAAAAGTTAAGGGAGTGTAGGAGAGCTACTTCTACATAAAGGAGGACATGTGACCTCGCCTGGAATACCTGGCACGTCCTGTGCCCCAGTTCCCTAAACCAGCTGCTTTACATGCATTCACCAAATCCCCCTAAAAGGCTTTGATTTACATACATCAGCCACTCAGTACTGATGTGATGTTGAATTCAATATGACTCGTATGTACAGGGAGATTTACTCATCCGGTCTGAAAGGACCTCATTATAGCACATTTCCTCCCCGAAGGCCTCACAGCGGAGCCTACCAGTGTGGTGTTTTAGTGAGACTCTTAGCCTTTCGTTGTCCCAAATGCTGTGTATCCACAAGAAATAACACCCTTTCCTGGCATCAAGGGTTAGTTCAATCTCTCCCTGCTCTAGAACAACTTAGATTGAATACCTTTCAACAGGCTAATGAAAACCTCAGAAAAGGCACACTGACTCCTCACAAGCTAGTCAGTGATGCTGGAGGACTGGATTTAGTAGCCAGTCGTGCCATGTGACCTTGAACAAGTCACTGCTGTGTCCTTTGCCGTGAATTACTTCCAGGGCCCCTTTCTGTTCTGGAGTCTCTCCCGTGTCAGTCTGTGGCCAGGTGCGCTTTGGGGAATGCCCAACCTCTGATCACTGCCGCTGTAACTTGTTTTTGCCAGATACGGCTCCTCGGGTTGGGCCTTGTTGGGAGAAGAGAGCAGGGGTCCAGGTCTGTGAACAGCAGTGAGAAGAGGCCGAGTGTGACCTGGGCTCTCCATTAGACCAGCAGCCTGATGTTAGCATTCTTGGGTCACTCACTTAGGGATGGGAGAGAGGGTGATGTGTGGACAGAGTATCATATTTTTGCCCAGGAGTAATATCAGAATTACAGTGCCACTGATGGCCAACATACCCAGGTTCCCAAATTTGTCGGAGAATGAATCATGGGAAAAGCCAGAATCCACTTTGCGGCATGTCTGGCTTAGCCTGAATGGCTCTGCCATGGTCACTCGCCTCAGCCTCTGGGTTCTTTGTGTTGAACTTGGTTATTGATATGTCTTTTTGAAAAATGGCAAAGGAAAGAAAAGGAATTGCTTCTTATAATTTAGGAACTTTTTTTTAGGATGCATAGCAGCCATCATTAAGTATGATTCTCTATTCAAACAAATTGAAAGGTTTTCTTCTAAAATTCACCCTGTTCTGGTGGCTTTTCAGTTTCCACAGGAAGAATCTTTTTTTGTTTTGTTTGTTTTTTAAATCTTTATTGTTGAAAGTTTTCCATATATTCCCTCAGAAAGAATCTTTCTCCCCCCCTTTCCCCCGGGATGCTTTTGATAAACTCTAGGCCCTTTGAACCAAGAGACCACTTCTTGATTTCTTCCCTAACTTTAATTAGTGGTTTTCCCACTACTCCTCTTCGGAACCAAGGGAGGGAAGGAGTGTGGACATGCTTCCTCAGACTGTGTTGGGAAAGCAGCGTATGAAAATCAAACCCTAAGCAGAAAAGCTTTCAGCTCACTCTTCATGCATCTGCTCTAAGAAGTCTGAATATCTAGCCACACCCATTTTATTCTGTCTATAAACTAGGTCACTCAGGCTGCAGAAATAGAATCCCTTGTTGAACTCTTGGAATGTTTCCTTGTTGAGGCTAAGTGACAGATGGGCCCAACACACCATTTTTACTCAGAAAAACTTAGAAAAAGAAAAATGAAATGAAAAACCAGCTAAGAAAACAAGGTTGAATTGGCAGCCTTCTTCTTGAGGGAGGTAGCCCTGTTTCCTGGAATGTTAACTTGTTTTTTATTATACGCACCCTGCTCCTCTTCTTTGTAAGTCGTTTTTATAGGGGAAAATGCCATTAAAAATATTCTGTTTACCTTGAGGTTTCCTCTCTTTTATTAGAGCAGGCTGTGATACTTTGAGAAAATAAAATGTGTCAGCATTTTGAGGCCATGCTAGATAGTCACATTTATTAACTAGTGTATTATATAAAATGTGGAGAGGAGGTGAAGGAGTTTGAAGGTGAAATATGTTTTCTTCAGAGCCCTTGAATAGGAAATTGTCAACTGCTGGATTTAGTTGCTAGAAATAGTTAGGAGGTGGCAGTCAGCAGGATTATTATTTTTTGTTGTTAATCCTCACCCCAGGATATTTTTTCATTGATTTTAAGAGAGAGTGGAATGGAGGGGGAGAGAAACATCGATGTGAGAGTGACACATTGATTGGTTGCCTCCCGCATACACCCGACCAGGGCTGGGGATCAAGCGGCACCTAGGAGGTGCCCTTGACCAGAATCGAACCAGGCACTTTTTAGACCATGGGCTGACGCTCTATTCTCTGAGCCAAACCGACTAGGGCCAGAATTATTTTTAAATTCAGTATATTTTTGGCTTTTCTGTTCTCTCTGGTCTTCTGAAGGTGATATTGAATAATCTTATTTTCAGTGTTTATTCCTCTTCTCCTGTTGGATAATCTTAAGAGAAAGTGGGAAGGAGTGGTCTCTTAAGTTTTTTGTTTTTGTTTTCAATTCTTAGGTCTGTGGTTTACCAGCAGAGTTCAAAAGAATCTGCCACCTTGCAGCCATTTTTCACGCTGCAGTTGGATATCCAGTCTGACAAGATCCGTACCGTCCAGGATGCATTGGAAAGCTTGGTGGCAAGAGAATCTGTCCAAGGTTATACCACAAAAACCAAACAAGAGGTATATTCACAGTTGATCCTGAACCTGTCTACCGAGGCACTCGAGTATGGTGGAAAGAACACAGAATTAGGGATGAGGACAGGTGGATTTGAGTTCAGCCTCTTAAATCAGTTGCTTAACTTTTTTGGACTGAGATTTTTCACATTTTTAGATGAAATGGTTGAAACAGATGATCCTAACAATCTCCTTTAGCTCTGAGTCATGTAGCACAAGGTAACGGTCTTGCAGATTATTTATCCTGAGTTGTGTTTAATTTTCTGGCTATCTAATCATGGTACCACAAAGTCATTGCTACCCCTATCAGAGGCTGATGGCTTGTTTACATTCCTGATATCATAGAGCACAGTTTCATGAGATTAGTCAGAACATAAAAGAGATTCATAGCACATCTGTTTTGAATTTGTAGATCTTCCAGGACATTGAAGTAGAGGAAGTCATTGTTCTAGTGCCTGTTGCCCTTTGATTTGATCTGGAGAAGATAAAAGCCTTTCAGCCTTCAGGAGTGGAGACACAGATTGTGGCTTAGTGTGGTGCACCTGTCAGCTCGATCTGAAGAGATGGATAGAATCTGCTCTTTGAGAGCTTCCTAGTTCCTGGCTATCCAGATGTGCCAGTTTATGCCTGTTTCCAGCTCTTCAGTTGAGAATGTCTTCTCCATTATTGTCCTAAATTGTGGCAGTGAATTCATACACATGTGTTGGGAAATGAGTGCAGGCTAGTGGTGGGCAGTGCTGTTTTGAACAGTTTGTAGTATTCCTGTGAAGCTTGATTGAAATAATAATGTGTAGTGACTGCAAGGTGAAGAATGACGTCCCAGTGTAGAAAACGTGTCAGATCCTTGCATAGCCAAGGTGGACATACCCTTGCCTTGCGACTCGTGACCTGAGTGAAGAACAGAAGTAGGATGTGTTTCTCTGGGGACTTCAGTGCATCTGGGGTCTCCTGCATTGATTGGTGAAGCCAGCTCTTGGGGGATTTGCAGAAACTATGCCTAATCCTCTACTATATTTTCTGATTCCTTCTCCTGGGCAGTTTTGTTTAAAATTAAAAGTGGTGGAAGCCAGTGTCAGAATCTTGGCAGTTGGCTTTGTGAATAAGCTAAGCAGATTCTAGTGGCGGGACTTAATAGAAGAGAAAGCTAGGGGGTACTTGTTTCAGGGAGGTTGCTTTGTGTGGCAGGGATGTGAACTTGGTTGTGGGGACTGTCCACAGCTTGTTCTCTGGCAGCTGTGACTCCAGAGGTGGACGCACTGTCCTGGCCACTGGGTCACTCTTCCTGTGCTCTTCTTGGAGCCAGCTGTGCAGGTCTGCCTACTCGTCCTGCTACGGAGGCTATCCCTGGGCTATCGGGAAAGCCCTTTGTGATATATCTATTGTTCCCTCTGTTGTTTCTGCTGCAGTTAAACTTGGAGTTTGGGGAGGAGGTGGAATGGGAGGTATGAATTGAGATAGAGGTGGTTATTGGCCGATTGTCAGAGAGTGTTAAGGAACGATGATTTGTTCTGGGTAGCAGGCTGAGAGGAAGGATTCAAGAAAGAAGTGATGTTTTGGCAGAGCCTTGAAGGTTAAAAAGAACAATTCTAGCTGTTCTAGCTCCATGGTCATGATGGTGTGTGGTTATCAGATATGAGAACACTCAGAAAAGCAGATATTTGAGGAAGGAACATTTTGGACAACTTGTGATATCTGTAAAGAGCAAATAACACAATTTCTGGAATGTGGTTTTTTAAACTTTTAAAAATATCAAGTTGGTTTTTTAAAAAATAATGTTTTTATTGATTTGAAAGAGAGAGAGAGAGGAAGGGAGAGGGAGAGGAAGAGAAACATCGATGGCATCAGTAGGCTGCCTCCTGTATGCTGCCCCTGGGGATTGAACCCGCAACCTGGGCATGTGCCCTGACCATGAATTGAACTGGTGACTTTTTGGTCCATGGGATGACACTCAACCAACTGAGCCATTCCGGCGAAGCCCAGGTTTAATTTTATTATACTTTTAGATCAAATGTCTGTGGGTGGGGGGGGAGGGAGGATGGAGATGCAGGATGATGGTCCATGGGAAAATGTGATTAGGGTCTGCTTTTGTTGAGTGACAAGAAAGTATGCTTCCATTTGTCTGGAAACCCAAAAACACATTTAAGAATTTCAGATGAACCACCTAGTGAACTGCTTGAGGTTTAACCAGTTAACTGCCATGTGTCCAAATGGAAACCATCCCCACATGCCACGATTTAAAAAAAATAAAAAAAAATTTTTTTAATTGATTTCAGAGAGGAAGGGAGAGGAAGATAGAAACATCAGTGATGAGAGAGAATCATCGATTGGCTGCCTCCTGCACGCCCTCTACTGGGGATCGAGCCCCACAATTGGGGCATGTGCCCTTGATCGAAATCGAACCTGGGACCCTTCAGTCCACAGGCCAACGCTCTACCCACTGAGCAAAACCAGCTAGGGCATGCCACAATATTTTGAATTTAATTGCATCTATAGACGCTTATGGTGCACAAAAGGTTAAGGTAAAAATGACAGGTCACCACACTGAGGAGCATCCCAGAGATACTTCAGTCCAGCTCTCCCAGTTCTCAGGTGAGGAATCCGGAGCCATCATTCCTAGTTTCAACTGTTGAGCTGTGGTCACGCTTTTCATTCAGTCACAGATTCTGTTACATACAGAAACACTACAATACAAAGACACGGTTGGGCATGTTATCTGTTCTTAAAGAGTTTATAAGTATAGAGAACAATAAAGGAGTGAAGTATTGTTTGTGAAGTTGCATTTGATAAAAAGCATTTATTAGAAGCTATGAAAGGGTTAGAATAAGTAGTTTTAGGGTTAAAGCATCTAATTCAAGTAACACATCAGCCTCAGTTTTATCAACACTATGAGAGTTATTAAAAAACAAGCTAATAAAAGTATAATTCAAGGTACCACTAAGTTAGCTTTTTTATGGTTATGCCAATTTGTCATTAGTGCCTCAGAGCAAAGATTGTTAACGTGAGTTCACAGATGGGCTCAGGCACCCAAGGGATCCTCTGCAGTGGTGTTTACAAAGATTTATGCATTTTTCTAAGAAGGACACCAGTAGATTTCTAAGGTTTTGAAAATATCTCACAACCCCGGAAATGTCCAGAAGCTTTGCCATGTACTGTAAGGAGTCGGCCCTAGGAGGTCTTTGAGTGAAGGGGCGTGGCCTCTGCTGCCTGGAGTCAGGTGGCCGCTGGACCTGTGTGCTTTGTGTCCCAGGTGGAGATTAGCCGGAGGGTGACCCTGGAAAAGCTTCCTCCTGTCCTCGTGCTGCACCTGAAACGATTTGTTTACGAGAAGACTGGCGGATGTCAGAAGCTCATAAAAAATATTGAATATCCTGTGGACTTGGAAATTAGTAAAGGTGAGAAATATGTAAGGCAACAGTGTTTATGGTGACAGTACTCTTGGACACCAGTGGGCATTTGACACATGAGCATTTCTGAAGAAGGTCAAGGTGAAGGAATTTCTTGACTTTTAATAGACCTTTTTTCAAATTCTCATTAAAATGGCTTTTTAAAAATAAAGGCAAAAATAAAATATTTTACTAGATTAGAAAAATAGGTTTTATCCATCAAAATGAGTATCAATTTATAGATTAATGGTACAAAACAATTTTTCTTACACTGTGTATTAACAACTGTGTGCATCAGCCTGGCTAAATGGGCTTTTTTTAGTGAATTGGGAATGGTCCCTATTCTGGGGGTTTCTCTGACCCGGTTGCATTAACATACCTTTTAGGTTTGTGTGTTGCCACGAGTCTCCATCAGGTAACCTGGGCTTAGCAGCAGTGGCACATTCTTGGCAAAAGCACCAAGTTCAGGTTGTCTTGCTACCAGTACAGCTTGAAGCAGCTTTCCTTGAAAGCTTCAGAATTGGTGAAAAATGTTTTCTGATAATGAAGCTTGATCAGGAGCAACACAAGTTAGAGGTGATTCTCAAAATAATCAGAGTGTCTGAAAAACAGGAAAGAGGACGGAGATGGCATCTCTGGGTCGGGTAGAGCCCCGGGTCCCTGTCACCTTTCCTCCGTCCCCTCCCTCCCCACGGCACGGCACCCACTTGCCCTCTATTTTGGGCCAGATGACTCAGGAACTGGTGGGTGGCAGCCTTATGCTTATGATCGGCTTCTACTACCCCAGGGATGTTCCATTTCTTCCTGTGGCTGAAAATTTGGACTCCTGTGCCAGTTTATGGTCCTCCCCTCCTCTCATAGTGAGCTGCTTCATTCCTAGGCAGCATGTTTTTCTGATCCCATCTGAGGACCAGAACAGGGAAGAAACTCCAGCTGAGAATCACATACTGGGTCATCGTCTCAATCTGCATGGCTTTCAGGAAACAGCCAACAGTCCAACAGGCGTCCTCTGACCCACTCTTGCACTTTCCCTCACCCCCAAATTAACCACCTAGATGGACTGACTTGTGTGGTTTCCTACAGATTTTATTTGCATGGCGTTTCTTGTTACATGTATTTTTATATCAGCTGCCGCCTCAGATGCTTTCTAGAAAGAACTGACAGAGTTGAGAAATAGAGAAGGAGCCAGTAATCTCCAGGTGAACTCTTCCCAGCATCTGAGTGGCCCTTCTGTAAAGGGGAACTGGGTGTTTTAAGGCAAGAGACCTGGCCTGCACCAGCTGGTAGTTGGAACCTCTGTGGAGAAGCCATATACTGTTGTGTAATTGAAGTTTTGTGGCCTGACTCCCATGTGAAATATTTTGCTGCCTGGGTTTTCCAGGACTGTTTTGGTTTTGTTTTGTTTTTGCCTTTAAGTGGGCAACCCACCCCCCCTCACTTTTTAGAACATCTGCTTTTAAGGGGTTCCTAGCATGAGCTTAATAGTTTTAGCATATTGCTCATATTTCTTTGATGGGTTGGTTGCTGATTATGTCTTTTACTACACTGCACAGCTAATTTCTTCGTGGGCCACTTTTTATGCAAATAAAGGATGGAGTTTTGTTTCCCTGGTCCACCAGGTAGTTCTGTGAGTGGAGACTTGTTAGTCTTTGCTTCTGTTACTCTGAGACTCTGTAAGTGCTCTTATAGATCGGAGCTGTTGATATTTTGTTTTTCAGAGCTGCTTTCTCCAGGAGTTAAAAATAAGAATTTTAAATGCCACAGAACCTATAGACTATTTGCAGGTAAGTAAATTTGTACACTAATTCCCTATTAAAGCAATGATAAAAGGGTTTCTACTCAAGCACAATTTTGCCATAATGCCACTTAACATAAAGAATAGATTTCACTATTGGTATTGCTATGGAATTTTTAAGTCAGGAAATCATTTGAAAATGTGTATTTTACCTGAAATTTGGTGCTTGGAATTTGACAAAATACCCTCTTGGCTCTAAACTGAGCCCAACATAAGACCTTGTTTGACATGATTGTTTCTGTCTCTGAGACAGAGGAGTAGGTTTAGGCCGCCAGCCTGGCACTTTGAGAATGTGACCTTTTCCTGCTGCCGTGTGGTACCTGTGGTACATGGTGCTTCGAGTGGCTGTGACACGGAGTCACCCAGCTGGGTTAGGAGTCCCAAACTCTTCGTATGGCACTGTCAGGTGTGCATGAGAAGGTGGCCTGAGCTCACGTGCTTCTCAGTCAGGCACAGGAATCCCCCTCTGGCGTGGGTAAGGGGGGTGCTGGGCAGCCTTGTCCCAGAACCAGGAGCCTGGAGCGCCCTGTGGTTCCAGCTTGTCTTCTAGGCTTTTTTTCCATTCTTTCTCTTCTATAGCCTAAGTCTCTTGTGCCTTGGAAGCTTTATATCTCTTTGGTAGTTATTTGCAACAGTTGTGTTTGCTTTTCTGGCTGTCTTTATTAGCATTTTCTAGCTTCTTTGTCATCCTTTTGTATTGCCTTCGGTGAGGTGGGTGCTGTGACTCCTCATGGAAGATATTTCATAGAAAACTTAGGATTCTCATTTTTTCATGTAATATAGCATATTCCTGTATCACAATCAGTTCCATGGAAATTCCGCTCATCCTATATAATAAAAGGCTAATATGCAAATTGACTGAACGGCAGAACAACTGGTCACTATGATGTGCACTGACCACTAGGGGGCAGATGCTCAACGCAGGAGCTGCCCCTTGGTAAGTGCTCTCCCATAGGAGGAGCACTGCTCAGCAGAAGCTGGGCTCACGGCTGCGGGTGGTGTCAGGAGCCTCTGCCACCTCCACAGTAATCAGACATCCCCTGAGGGCTCCCAGACTGTGAGAGGGTGCAGGCCAGGCTGAGGACTACCCCCTGCCCCAGCTCATGAATTTCGTGCACCGGGCCTCTAGTTGTAATATAATTCACTAATTCCTTCTAATGGGTATTTAGGTCTTTCCATTTTTCCATTGTTATAAAGTCTGTGTCTAAGATTCAGATACTCTCTTTTAGAACAGTCTCAAAGTGGTCTTGGCTAGATCAAGGGCATGAGCTTTTTGTAGGTCTCGGCGTGTTTTCCGATGTTGATTACTTTATACTGTGGCTCTGGGGGGTGTCTTTCATGTTCTAATTTCCAGCGTTCTCTCTAAAGTATTAATTATTCAGCTGGCCGATGCCCTAACCGGTTTGGCTCAGTGGATAGACTGTCGGCCTGCAGACTCAAGGGTCCCAGGTTCGTTTCTGGTCAAGGGCATGTACCTTGGTTGCAGGCACATCCCTAGTAGGGGGTGTGCAGGAGGCAGCTGATCGATGTTTCTCTCTCATCGATGTTTCTAACTCTTTATCCCTTTCCCTTCTTCTCTGTAAAAAATCAATAAAATATATTAAAAATAAATAAACAAACAAATATTCAGCTGGCCGATAACCTTTGCCTAAAGGGCTGACAAATGGAACAACCCTATTTTATCAGGATTTGTTTTATTGTTTGTGACGTATTGAACATTTAAAAGATGTTAAGATGTACGTGTATATCTTTTTATTGTAAATTGTTTAAGGTCTTTGTGTTTGAATAAACTGCCTTGTGTCATTAAGTTCTCTCTCTCCCGCCTATTTTGGTAAGTGTCTCACAAGACAGATTTTTGGAGGTAGTCTGATTTTTGGTGGGTGTGTTTATGCTGTTGGTGTGCAGTGCTTGTCTCACTGGGTCCCCCACCGGGCCCTCTCTTCCAGTGGTCTACCATCACGGCAGCAGTGCGACGGGTGGTCACTACACTACGGACGTCTTCCAGATTGGTCTGAATGGCTGGCTGCGCATCGATGACCAGATGGTCAAGGTGATTAACCAATACCAGGTGGTGAAGCCCGCTGCAGACCGCACAGCCTACCTCCTCTATTATCGCCGAGTGGACCTGCTGTAGCCGCCTGTGCGCTGTGTGTGCCGACACCTGCTTGTAGAACCAACTCTCACTGACTTCTTTCCTCTCTTTAGTGGCTCTTTAGAGAGAAACTCTTCCTCCCTTTTGCAGAAATGGGCTAGAATGAAAAGGAGATGCCTTGGGTTTGTGCACAACATAGTTTATGGTGTTTTCTAACTTCCAAATCAAATCACTTGGTTGAAACAGACTGTCGCTTGATTTGAGAAAATACACAAAAATCCGTAATTTTGAAATGATGCTGATTCCTGAGTTGGAGGGGAACTTGCATTTGATTTCCAGTCTGATTGCTTAGTAGGATGAGTTCTGCACCAGCAACGACACTTGTAAATTTGTGAAAATGACTTTTATCTTTCCTTAAAAAATGAATTTTTTAATCCATCACACTTTCTTCCCTCACCCTTTAGTTTTTGATAAATGATAAAAATGAGCCGGTTATTGGAGAAGAAATAGTTCTTCAAAAAAAATAAACACAAAAAAATGAGTTGCTGGTTTTTACTAGGAAAAAACAACACATTTTAATAATTGTGTGACGAGAAACTGCTTACTTACACATTACAGATCAAATATTTGGAGTTAAGGTCTTAGTCACATAGATGGGTGATGGTAACCTTATTGCCATGAAAAGATTTCAAATTGCATTCATGCTTCTGTGTACACATAATGAAATATGGGCAAAATAATGAAGATTGATCTCAAGTCCACTCTGTTTACTTTTGCTGCCTGCTCTTCTCTAATGCCGCGTCTCCAGTTGTACACAGTTTAGTGATGCCTAGGATATCAAGTTGTCGCCCATTAATAAAAATCACTAAGTTGGTCTAACACTGTGCTTGGTGTTTCTTTGACTGAGTGCCTTTTCCAGTGACGGGGACGCAGGCTCTTGGATCAGCTGACGTGTGTGGGAGAGCCGCGCCAAGACAGTCTATGCTTGGTTAGTGTTTCCCAAGTGAGAACTGGATGGGTAAATGGGATTGGATCTTTGAATAGAAAAGGGGAGGTGAAGTCTCCCTCAGTTGTTTCTGTGCCCTGTCTAACCCCCCCCCCCCCCCCCCCCACCCGACCCCACCCTGTCCCCTGCATTATCAGTGTCACCAAAGTGGTGGGTTTTGATGGGCCTAGCATCTTTTGTATGCCACTGGGGCATCTTAACACCGGATGCCACCCTCTCATCGTGGAAAGGAAGCCTTCCTAGACCGAAGAGGTGGAGAGGAGGGATGGCCACACTCAGGCCACCCCCGCGGCTCTTGTGCCGCTAGTGCCGCGCTTTCGCTCCATGCTAACAAGTCATAGAAATGTCCTTGGATCGCCAGACAAGCAGTTCTACATGGTTTGAGCCTGCTTCCCAAGCTCTTCCTCCTGCCACCTGGTGTTCCCAGTCGTAGCCTGTGCACCTCCCACGTTGAGAGCTTGCGGTCCTATCACTGGCCACGCGGCCTACTCACCCTGTTGTGACCCTACTCCGATTCACTCGGCCAACTTACAAGTCCTGTAACAATTAGCCTCTCAATGAAATAACGTGCAAGTGTTTGGAGCCCAATTAACTTTGGGGGAAGCAACCCACACCAGCAATAACCCAGCTGAAGATAAAATGAAACCCATTTCTGAAGCACTTCGTTGAGTTCAGGGTTGTCATGCTGTGAGCCAGGATGTCATGCTGTCATTCTGTCTCTGCTGTTGGGAACTCTGATCTGTCCTGAGCAGGCACTCGGCTTCCACCGATGGTGCTGGCCATCCTCTCCCAGCAGGATAACGTGGCTCCTCAGATGTAAAGTTATGAGACTGACGCCCTCTCAAGAACAGGGCCCTCTGGCCCGAAGGCCTGTCACAGGAATCGAACAAGAGGCCAAAGAAGGCTGTTATTGCTACACAACCTGCTTCCAAGTCTAAAAAACACAACCTGTGTGTTTAGATGAGAAGTTTCCCCTCAAATAGGGCTTTCTACATAATTTTTTAAATTGCTAAGATGTATATTGTGTCAAGCCCAAAATATGTTGGAAATGACTGAGGTATTGAGAAACTTCCTTTGAAAGGTCTCAAGTCTCTCAAAAGTGGCCAAGATGAACTAAGTCCAGTGGGATATTCGGTGTTGGTCAACATGTGCTGTGCAGTGATACTGATCCACTTTTTTTTTTTAAACTCCAATTTTATTGTGGACATTTTTAATATCTGCTTTCAGAGTTCCAACTGAATCCACAAACTCCTTTCTTTATTTTTTAGTATATTTTTATTGATTTCAGAGAGGAAGGGAGAGGGAGGGAGAGAGAGATAGAAACATCAATGATAAGAGAGAATCATTGATCGGCCTCCTCCTGCATGTCCCCCATGGTGGAATTGAGCCCACAACCTGGTCATTTGCCTTTGACTGGAATCGATCCTGGGACTTTTCCAGTCCGCAGGCTGATGTTCTATCCACTGAGCCAAAACAGCTAGGGCTGATCCACTCTTGAGGTGCTGTCCCCACTGGTATGCCCGGGCTTTTAAATTCAGCCGCGTGGTATCCGGCAAAGGGCTCCACTGTTACCTGCAGGTGAGGATGCTGGGTTTGAGAGGTGAAAGCTAGCTTTGTTTGAAGGAGAGCCTGCATACCACCTAACAGCTCCCATGTATTTAGACAGATGTAGCCTCCCAGTTTTGCTTAAGCTGGATCAGCACACCCAGCTGCAGACAGAAGCACATAACTCAGGAAGGGATAGAATACATAGCAAGGAGATGCTGGCCTGGGAGTAAGAATTATCTGCATCTGGTCCCTGGAGTGAATGATCGGCTCGCGGATAGAGAATCAGACCATGCTAGTAAATCCAGCACTTCCCTAGGGTCCCTAGAGAATGGTGGGCTTGTCCATGTTACCGGTTCTCAAGACTTTGAACTCAATGTTTAGTATTTTGTGCTGCAATGTATAGGGTTTTTGCAAGTCTCATAGAGTTTCTCTGACTTTAGGTCATTTACATGTAGAACGTTGCCCATTAACCTTGGTGTGTGGGTGTAAATTGAGTTACTTCATTAGCATTTGATATGTCCTTATTGATAGTCCTTAAACTAATGTGAATGCTGAGTTATCGTCAGAAGTATATTATAGAGAGATTTTTCTTTAATATATCATTTATTACAAGACTTGGAAGTTCTCTTACAGGGAGGAATGCAATGAGGTTTAACTGGTTGGTGTATTGTTTGCCCAATCACCAGGAAAATGCATTTGATATGTCCTTATTGATAGTCCTTAAACTATTGTTTGCCCAATCACCAGGAAAATGTGTGAGCTACTCTGGGCTCCACTCAGAATTAAAAATGGCAGTCATGCCCCGGCCCGTGTGGCTCAGTCAGTGGTTAGAGTGTCAGCCCTCGAACCAAAGGGTCACAGGTTTGATTCCTGGTCAAGGGTATGTACCTGGGATGCAGGCTCGATCCCTGGCACTGGTCAAAGCACATACAGAGACAACCCCCCGATGTCTCTCACATCAATGTTTCCCTCTTCCCCTCCTTCTGTCCCTTCATTCTGTCTAAAAACCAATGGGGGGATATGGCAGTGATTTCACTGTCCTATTTGAATAACCGTAGTTCAGCGGCCCGAGGGGCTCAGAGCAGCGTTGTGCTTTTGTTTTCAGTGTAGTCACCTCATCATGATCTAATGTGTGGGTGACATGAGCAGGAACTTTGTAATCAGCACTTGCACCATTTATGTCTTTTAGTGGAAATTTCCTAGGCTCTCACTGGCTGCTTGTACTTGACCAGGCCAACTGGTTAGAAAACAGATTGCCATGTAAGTCAGTTGCTTTGAATTGACCGATTAAATCGGTGCGTTTGATCTTGTACAGCTCCCCGCTAACTTGCAGGAATCAGTCATCATTGGTTGTGTGGTCTGGCCACCTCCCTCAGGGGAGACGAAGACCCAAGGCTTTTCTAACACTTCTCCAGCGCAACAAAAAAAACGACCTAGTGAGGGCAAGTGTGTCCATTACACCAATTTCCTGCGGGGCAGTGGACTTAGAAAACATTAGACAAAATCTGAATGGTTTAAAAATAGTTCCTGCCTGGCAAGGCCACACATTAACAGCCAGCTCCACATGCAACGTTGTGTTTTTCCTTTAAGTTCAATCACCGCAGATGGTCAAGCGGGCATGCTTTTTCCTCAGCAAACACTTCCTCTTGCTTCCTAGGATTATTTTTTTAAGTGTTGTTACTCATCTTCTGGTCTGACCATCCCCATCTTATTTCTCTCTTTTGGAGGAAAATTTATTTGCTTGAAAATGAAATTCACTTCCTAGCCCTTAGCTGCACCTTGTGATAATGTTTGTTCTTTTCAGGAATGAACACATGAACCAGTGAACAAATGCTTGGTCCCCTTTTCCGGTCTTTCTCTTTCCTTCCCTCCCCACCCTTTACATGAAAGGGTATATTGTTTTAGTTAGCAAGTGTGTGTTCCCTTCATGGGATTTAATTGTGAGTTTACTTCTCACTAGTACTTCCATTTCGCTTCACACATTTGGTCATGTCTCCCGCTGTACCCTCACTGACGGTAATTAGGTATAATTGACTAATTACAAATTTGCTCAGCCTTTGGTCAAGTGGTCTTTCCTCTGAGACACGGGAAGTAAGCTTTTAAGTCACCATATTTGATTAAAGGAAACAACGCAATCCTGGCTGCTGTGGTTCGAGGGAATTATTTTGGTTTTGACTCGGATTTCACACTGATGTCGTCTAAAATATTTTCATTTTCTTGTAAGCTCCATTTTATAATAGACTCCCACTGAAGTCTTACTTCTCATTCATTGGGAAAGTATCGTTTGTTTTCTAACAAGTGAAATGTTGAGGCAGCGTCGTATTCTACCAGATGAACCTACGGAAGGCATGTCTGTGCATCAGGAGAGTCCCTGGGCAGGCTTTGTGCATTTGGGAGCCGGATAAGACTCACCCCTAAGTTTCTGATTTGTGTGCTTTTTAATAGAAGTTTTTTGTTGTTTTGTGTGTGTGTGATTTTTTTTTTCTTTTTTTTTTTTTACATCTAATCCCATCCGGAGTGTGTTTTCTGTTTTCTGTTGTGGGCCATCTGCATGGCTTTCAAAGTGTTGGTGGTCCTGAGATTACCGGTTTGGGTCTGGTGATCCTGACCTTGGGTTTCCCATCTGTCCCTCAAAGAAAGCAAATCTCTTCACATGCTTTTTGAGTATTTTGGGATTCTCTCTGTTAGTGGTTCTCAACCTTCTGGCCCTTTAAATACAGTTCCTCATGTTGTGCCCAACCATAAAATTATTTTCGTTGCTACTTCATAACTGTAATGATGCTACTGTTATGAATCATAATGTAAATATCTGATATGCAGGATGGTCTTAGGTGACCCCCGTGAAAGGGTCGTTCAACCGCCAAAGGGGTCGCGACCCACAGGTTGAGAACCACTGCTCTATGTGATTTAAAATGAACATTTCTTTTTTTTTAATCCTCATGTGGGTATTTTTTCCATCGATTTTTTTTTTTTTTTTTTTTTTTTTTTTTTTTTTTTTTTTTAGAGAGAGTGGAAGAGAGCAGTAAAGACAGAGAGAAACACATTCATTGATTGGTTGCCTCCTGCTCGAGCCCCAACCAGGAACCAGGCCAGGGAGGAGCCTGCAACTGAGGTACTTGCCCCTGACCAGAATCAAACCCGGGACCCTTTGGTCTGCAGGCTGATGCTCTATCCACTGAGCCAAACTGGCTAGGACTCCATGTGACTTAAGAAAAAAGCATTGCTCTGCTTTGAAAAAATGATTGGAAGTCTCTTATAAGATGTGGACTTACTTTCTGATGTGAGGATTGGTTCTTCACCCTCGTTCCTTTTCCATTCTGTCAGCAG